TAGGTGCTTACTGTATTGACACGTGTAAGATTTGGATGCCCGAGGTTATGTACTTCCTCTCGATTCAGCTTCTTTTGCAAAGCCTTGGTAACATATTCAGTTGCTGAATTGATTATATAATTTTCACTTTATGTAAAACAGTTATTTATTCATCAACTCACACCTGCACATATCACCCAGTACAATTAACCCTGCACTCTTTATCAGCATCATACCTAGATGGTTGTCGAGGCCGATTATTCAGGTGACTAAAGCCTGGAATCTGTGAATAAAGAATCAAGAACTTTAGGTGATAGATTTCAAGCAAAAAGATCAACCTAGCATAATAAATCATCAGTATTAACTCCAAAAAATTTCTAGGATTTCACTTTTTTTGCTATGTAAATTTAAACAGTAAATGACTAGTGAGTGATCTTCTTAAGTGAACGGAATTTTCTTCTGAAAAAGATATAGGTTTCACTTTTCATGCGCGGAGAGTGAAAAATGGCAAGAAAGTTCAACTTCTTTTTCTCGAAAAGGAGAACACGTCAAGATGATGCTGGTCTTACAATCCGAAAACCCCAAAAGAGAGACCCGGAGGAACACAAAGCAAATGAAAAGCAAAAGAAAGTGCTTGAAACTTTGGGAATTCTTGCCTCTCCATTCATGAGCCAGCTGTTGAACAACTCCTCGCTGTCTTCTCTGAAGCTCTGCGACATGTTTCTGAACCCCATCATTTCCATGCTCGGCGGCGCCGCCACTCCGATCGAGTTCTCCATCACCGCCTTGAGGAAGATCTCCTCGCTGGTGTTCCTGAACAGGTCAGACAGACCCCGGCCCTCCATCTCCATGAACTCCTCCTCAGCTCACCTTACCTCACCTCACCTCTGCCGATGATTGACTGAAATAGTTCTGAAAAGCTGTCTTAGTACCAGTGCACTTGTAATGTGTGAACTCAAGCAACCATAGTGGAACAAATAAGATACTGTAAAATAGAATCCCACCTAAAACACTCGTTAAACTAAGAAAGGGTACTTGGCAGAAGAACTCAGGCACATTAAGACACTAAGCTAATTTTAAAAAGCGATAGCCTGACGACACTAAACTAACTGATTGAGGTATCTTCCCTGCAGTCAGAGGCAAAGATTCCATCCTTCTCATTTTGTCTCATCAGTGGAAAGAACTGGGCTCTGTAGAATTTGTCCGCTTACGCGTCGAAGAACAGGTGTACCCTAGAAGGAGGCTTACATCAGGCAGGTATGTACACAGAAACCGCAAGCTATTTCAGAAGGATGCTCTTTTGATCATGGTCTGCAAAATTGCAACACAAAGGTCAGACAAATCTTCTATAGGTGCTCATGGAATATTCTTTTTAAGTGATAGTTTTTTCTCCAAGTCATCAAACGTTTCTACGATTGGTATTATCATTGTGTTCTTAATTTTTCTTTTCCCCAAATGGTTTAATAAAATAGCAATTTGCAGCCAGGGGGTGACAGCATCAACGATGACGCATGCTGACATAAATATAATGCAGGATTTGCAAGAAGTGGATGGCCAGTCCCCAGGATCTCATCACAGGCCTACAAGGCAAAACAACTCTCATCTTGTTTAGTCGTTGATGCGTGTTGGTTGACGGGCGCCTTGACGGCGACGGCCTTCGGGACATTTCTGCTGCCACTGTCAATTACTTATTATTGCTACTAACTAAACCACAACTGTATGATTGGGCGGGTAATCAGCAAAACGCCGTGCAAATTGCCTGTTTTAAAGTAACTGCAGACATATTAACCGGTGCAGAAGAAAGTAATAACATGGTTACGCTCACTGTCAAAGTAAAAGTATGATATTACACTGATACTGATCTTAATGGCCCCATTGCCATTTAGAGGAGGGCTTTGACCAAGATCTCTATCGACCGTCCATCCAGATACGTTCATCACTGATGGCGAGGCTTCTTTAGGTGGCGTGCCAGTGTCACCGGCGATCGATGCCGCGGCGGCTGCAGAAGAGTATCATTGAAACAGACTTCACCTATGTTTATAATAGCTGTTGCCCATTGCTGTGATCGCTGGCAGCCGACCCTGCCGGCGCACGGACGCGCTTCGCCGCTAATGGCCCGGGATGATTGAAGAAATCTTTTCGCAGAAAATTTCTTACCGCTGGAGAAATCTTCTGAGCAAGTGATGCAAGAACAGATAAGAAAAACTGGATTACAAAGTTCAAGCAAAGATTCCATTCTTCTCATTTTGTCTCATCAGTGGAAGAACTGGCCTCTGAAGAAAAAGGTGTACCCTAGAAGGCTTACATCAGGCAGGTATGAACCGAAAATCGCAACACAAAGATCAGACAAATCTTGTATTGGTGCTCTGGGAATATTCTTTCTAGGCACTATATTTTTCTCCAACATATCAAATGTTTCTATGGTTAGTAGTACAACTGCATTCTTAATTTCCCTAATGGTTTAATATAATACTCCCTCCGCCCGTCCCGAATTAGTTGTCTTAGATTTGTCTAGAGACGGGTGTATCTAGACACATTTTAGCGTTAGGTACATCCGTATCTAGACAAATCTAAGACAACTAATTTGGGATGACTCATTGATGATCCATGCTGACATAATATAATGCAAGATTCGCAAGAAGTGGATGGCCATTCCCCAGGATCTCATCACAGGCTTGCCTACAAGGTAAAACAACTCTTATTATTACCAACTAATTCAACTGTAAAAGTTTAAAAATCTCCCTGATGTGGTAATGCATACATCATCATTTCACTGACGATTGGGTTAAACCCCTGCAAACTGCCTGTTTTTAAATCAACTGCGGGAGTGTTAACCGGTGCAGAAGAAAGTAATAACATGGTTACACTCACTGTCAAAGTAAAAAGTATAATTGCGCTGATAGTCTGACACTGACCTCAACGGCCTCATTACCGTTTAGAGAAGAAGAGTTTCTGACCAAAGATCTGCCTTGACCGCCCCTCCAGTCCAGGCACACCCATCACTGACGGTGATGTTTCGTTAGGTGGCGTGTCGGCTTCCTCGGTGATTGATGCCGCGGCGGCCGCAGAAGAGCACCGTGTGTTTGAAAGCGAAACCTTGGCTATGTATGTTTATTAGTTATAGCTGGCGGCCGTCGCTGTGAACGCCGGCGCACTGACGGACGCGCTTCCCCGCCGATGACCTGGGACAGTTGAAGAAATCTCGTCTCAGAAAGCTTCTCATGGCTGGCTGGCTGGTTGGAGAAATCATCAGAGCAGCAGGCGAGATGCAGGAACAGGCGAGGGGAATTTCTCATGGCTGGCTGGACTGGAGACATCTTCAGTGCAGGCGATGGAAGAACAGGCAAAGGGAATAGAATCAGTTTAAAATTGGAATTTTTATTATAAAGAAAAAAGGAACCAGGTCCACAAGTTGTGCAAATTACATTCACAGGAACTAACAGAAAGAGCTTCAGAAAATAAATGCTTTAAGTCATGGATGTTTGCGATATCCAAACCGCCAAAATCATTTTTCCGTAGCAAACTATAGGCCAGTTGGCTACATGAATTTTCCTACACCCCTCAAAATCATCCCATAGGCAGTTGGCCATTTGAGTGTTCATACGATCCACGACCCACTTTGGAAATTTTAAAAAGGAAATGCAGTAAATAGGAATGCTAGCAGAACAGGCTTTGATCAAAGTGATCCTGCCTGCATAAAAAAAAAGGAGCTTTCCTCTCCATATAGCTATCCTACATTGGATTTAATCTGTAAGGGGCTGAATATGACTCCTAGACAGCTTGCCTTGATGGAGAGGTATGCCTAAATATTTAACAGGGAACACCCTAGAAGGCTTACACCAGGCAGGCATGAACAGAAAAGCGGCACGCTGTTTCAGACGGATGCTCTTTCGATCACGGTCTGCGAAATTGCAACACAAAGATCAGACAAATCTTCCATAGGCGCTCTTGGAATATTCTTTCTAAGTGCTATTTTTTTTCTCCGATACGTTTCTATGCTTAAAGTATATCATTGTGTCCTTAATTTTTCCCCAGTGGGTTAATATAATACTGTAGCAACTTGCTGCCAGGGGGTGACAATGTCAATGACTCATTGATGACCCATGCTGACATAAATAATATAATGGAGGATTAGCAAGAAGTGGATGGCCAGTCCCCAGGATCTCATCACAGGCTTGCCTACAAGGTAAAACAACTCGTCTTCTGCTGCAGTTGACAATTACTCACTATTACTACCAACTATTTCAACTGTAAAAATTAAAAATTCTTCCTGACGTGGTAATGCACACATCATCATTTAATTTCACTGATGATAGGGCAGTAGTAAAACCCCTGCAAATTGCCTGTTTTAAAATCAACTGCACGGGTGTTAACTGGTGCAGAAGAAAGTAATAACATGGTTACACTCACTGTCAAAGTAAAAAGTATGCTCGCACTGACAATGATCCTAATGGCCCCATTACCGGTTAGAGGAGGAGAGGTCAGACCAAAGATCCCCCTCCCTTGACCGTCCCTCCAGTCCAGGCGCATCCATCACTGACGGCGATGTCTCGTACGTTAGGTGGCGCGTCCGCGTCATCATCGGCGATTGATCGATGCCGCGGCGGCCGCGGAAGGGCGCCGTCTGCTTGAAAGCGACGCCTGGGCTGGGCTGCGTATGTTTATTATAGCTGGCGCACGTCGCTGTGGCCGCCGGCGGCCGACCCCTGCCCGGGCACTGACGGATCACGGACGCGCTTCGCCGCCGATGACCCGGGACGGTTGAAGAAATCTTGCCGCAGAAAAGTTTCCCATGAAAATCTTCAGAGCAGCTGCGAGATGCAAGAACAGACAAAGGGATCAAATCAGTTTTATAAAACTGGATTTGGTAAAGAGTCTTCAGAGATAATAATTGCAGTTTCGTTTTCAGCTTCCGGGACTGACAAAGCGGGATAGAGAGATATTACGCCTTCTTCATCTGAGACGTTTTTTCCTTCTAATTCGGCCTATGTCAAAGACGAAACGGGCTTCTTTAGGCCCATATGCACCCGGCAACAGGCCCACATCCCGCGAGCAGTTCGAGCCTACTACGACCCAAACCCCCGCCGCGTCCATGGCCGCTCGCTTATCCCCTCACCCAGTCTCCCCCAAGCTCGCGTCGTCCGTCCATGGCGTTCACCGCGCCGGTAGGGGTGGCGGGAGCCCTTCTCCCCCTCGCCCTCCCCGCGCCCTCCAGCTCCGGCTCGGCCTCCTTCCTCCCCCGCGCCGGCGGTGAGTCCCGACGGCGCCGCTTAGCCGTCCCACGCAGAGGAGGCGCCATGGTAAGCTCCACGCACAGCTCTTCGTTTCGTTGCTTCCCCCCCACCCACCCAATATGCTCCTCATGCTGATTAGATTCGGAAGTTGAATTTCGAGCGAACTGGGTTCATCCCCACTCGTTCCATTCTTCTCGACACTCTAGGCACTATCAGCAAGATTACTGTCATTTTTTTCCTTTGGTTTCAGTTACAGAAGGAAACTTTTGTGTTGGGTTAGCAGCTCTGTGTGTAGATTAGACTATATAGTACCATAATTCTAGATTTCAGTAGTCCTGTCCAGCTTTTGTAGATGTTTGATTTGATTTTGGTGCGGTGTAGTGACTGTATTTACATATGTGACTAGGGAGATAGCCGGGGGAGATGGAATTGCCACATGACTCGCTCTGCCGGCAAGGCGAATGTGGTGACCGAGGACGATGCGGTGAATGTTGCTGCTGATGCCGCCACGGACCAAGCTGCCGATGATGCCGCCGATGTGCTCGAGTCCTTGAACCCTGACGATGCTGATCCAGTTGCCTGGATAAAGCAGCAGCCTCTCCCTTATCCTGCAGTAAGTACAACAGAAGTAATGATTCACAAACATTGGTGCCCCTGGGAACGGGGTGACGGACAAGGGGTTGTAATGCAGGATGCTCTGGAGCCATACATAAGCAAGGAGACGGTGGAGCAGCACTGGGGAGTTCACCAGCGCGGGCACGTGGACAGGCTCAACGGCATGATCGGCGGCAGCGAGTGGGAGCGGATGTCGATTGGGCAGATGATGCTCGCCTCATTCAACGAGGGCAGGGCGCCACCCCACGCTCCCTTCTTCCATGCCGCACAGGTAGCATTTCGATACTATCTGGAACCATCTTTTGTGGCTTGCGTATGCTTTAGATCCCTAAATCCTAATTATTGGCCCTGTTGTGTAGGTATGGAACCATGATTTCTATTGGCGATCAATGAAACCTGGCGGTGGAGGCAAGCCCCCGGAACGTCTTCTGAAGTTTATAAACAGAGACTTCGGATCATATGACGGCATGATCAAACAATTCATGGATGCCACACTAACTCAGTTCGGTTCTGGATGGGTTTGGCTTTCTTGTAAGTGATGCTGAAACCCACATTTGTTAGCAGTTTGTACCTGTTTCAAAACTTGCTCCAAGTGGTGCGTATGTGATGGAACTGAACCTTGCTCTGTAACTGGTTCAGACAAGGGGAGCAAGTTACCTCATGTGAAGTCAAAAAGCCCAATCCCATCTGACAATTATGGCAGGCTGGTCATCTCAAAGTCTCCAAATGCTATCAACCCACTTGTCTGGGGCCACTCTGTGAGTATTTACCTGCAACTGTGTTTCCCTACATAATCATGCAGTGTATACTGTGCACTACTTCATTTTGGAAGCTTTGTATTGCCTCTTATTATTTGTTCCTCTGACAAGAAAGTATTTCCATTTATAAAAAATCTATTGTCTGTCTCCCCCATGCATACTATATATTCTACAGTGATCTGATATTTTTGTCTGTCTATTCTTGTTGGCAGCCACTCCTTGCGATTGATGTTTGGGAGGTATGCACACATCATTCATTTTCATTTCCATGCATTTTCCTTCATAAAAGTTAACATTGCTAACCAATTCTCTGTCTTGGGAACAGCATGCCTACTACTTGGATTATGAGGTTAGATGTCAATGGTGCTCATGATTTCTAGTGGTTATATTTGCCATATCCGCCACTTAGTCTGTTCTTGTTACATGGCTGCAGAATCGAAGGGCTGAGTATGTCTCTGCAGTTCTAGAGAAGCTCGTCTCATGGGAAATGGTGGAGTCCAGGCTCCGGAAAGCTGTTCTGCGAGCAATAGAAAGAGACGGTCACACCAGCCCGAAGCAGCGAAGGAAGCAACTTCTGTCCCAGGCTAAAAGCCGCGTCGGGGATGCAAGCACCAGCGGTGAGGCAAGAAGGCGACCAAGAAGTAAGGATCAGCAGGCCCCTTCCAGCGTGAGAATGGTTCCAGCAGGCGAGGCGGTACCGAACTGAGCCATGAGCCTTTGAGGTTGGCGACCAGTAGCTAGCACGGGCAGGCAGCTAGAGCAGCATGTCCAAAATCCTCCAGAACAGTAGTCTCTGAAGAACGCGCGCACCACCCGACTTCCGTTCGTGCGACCGTTGTAGCATGATCTGCACGCCGCAGTTTTTGTCAATGTTAGTCTAATAGGGGTACTGCATTGTAGTATGCCTATACCACTCGAGCAACAATCAGCAATGCTGGACAGGCTAAATTTTGGTAAGTAGCCTCAGGGCTTGGTGTCCCGTAATGTATTGGTGTAGAGATAGGCTTAGGAGGTGGCCGGGCACGGCTTGATAGAAGATGAAGCACAGTTTCTGTCCCTTCCTCTTTGAATCATTCATAAGTATCAGCAGTTTCCTTTTGACGAGACTCCTGTCTCATGTTACAACGAACCAACCACTACGCCACTAAGCCACATCTGCTTGGTCACATCATTTTCCTTTTTTTCTAGTTTCCTCTTTTCTTTTTCGTTTATTCGTTTTTTCTTTTGTTTATTCCTTATATGTTTTTTTTCAAATTCATGGACTCTTTTCAAATCGATGAACTTTTTCATTTTTCGATGAACTTTTTACAAATTCAATGAAATTTGAAAAAAAGTTCACCGGATTTTAAAAAAGTTCACACAATTAAAAAAAAGGTTCATCGGATTTGAAAAAAGTTCAACGATTCAGGAAAAAGTTCATTATTTTCAAAAAAAGTTCACCAATTAAAAAAAACCGCGCAGTAAAGAAAACAAAAAGATGAGAAGAAGAAAAGGATTTAAAGGAAAAAACGAACTAGCTATACACACGAGGGTGGGTAGCCTGCTGGCTAGAGCAGTGCGCTTGCAACGAACAGGTCTCGAGTTCGATTCCCCTTCCCGCCCCATCTAGGACTGCTGCAGGCGCCCGTTTGCAAATTGCACTGTAACGGGCGCCTGCGGCGCCAAATAGGAAATGCCTGTGTCAAGTAGGGGGTGGGAAATGTTCATCGAATTTGAAGAAAAAGTTCATCGATAATGAATATTTTCATCAAGAATGAAATAAAGTTTATCACGAATTCCAAAAAATAGTTTATCGATTTTGGGAAAAAGTTCATTGACTTTGAAAGAAAGTTTATCGGTTTGGAAAAAAATGTTCACAAAATTTGAAAAACAATTCATGGTTTTGAGAGAAAAGTTTATAAATTTGAAGAAAGTATTCAGATTTGAAAAAAATTCACACATTTATAAAAATTAAAGGAAAGGAAAAAATGAAAGAAGCGAAAAAGGAAAGAGAAAGAAATCAGAAAAAACCAAATAAAAAACCTCCAGAAACTAAAAAAAACCTGATGAGAAGCTTCTAGAAGTTAAGGCACAAGAAAAGAATAAAAATGGGTAGGTAAACATGTAACATGTGGTGTCTGATCTGGTTAACTTGTTGAAAGAACATGCGGCGCCCCCATGTTTGGTTTTGGCAATTGATGACAATCTCTATGGACTAATGGTTGCCTTGAGTTATATTGAGTTATATTTGAAGTGTTTGTCCATAGGCTTTTCTTGGAGTCCATTTGTTGGTTTCAAGGAGAGTTTGTGATGACCAAGGTGCTATTAAGGAATTATTCAAAGATTGGTCTTATGAGTATTGAGCTTATAGCAAGCATGTCTTGAAGAAGAAGAGTGTGTGATCATTCATGTTTACCTTCAAGACATCATCCAAATGAAGAGAGTTGGAAAGATTCAAGGTTGATCAAGACTAAGTCAAAGAGTGAATCAAGTTGATCAACACACACAGCATAGAAGATGTACCGAGAGGGATCAAGCGATCCCATGGTATGGTAAGCATGGTCAATTACACTTTGTGTACTAACCCATGGTCTTCGTGAGAGTTCTTTGTAGGGTTAGGTTGCGGTGTGCAAGTTCAAGTAGGATCATCACGAAGAGATCGTATGCTTGAAGCTTGCCGTCCATTGTGGCGACAATGGACTTGTGAAGATGTGCAGAAGAGTGGCTCACCCATAGTGGAGTATGGGGGAGCAATCTACTAGTCTTCATCGAGCCAACGCAATCAAGAAAGGTGGTCCATCTTGAGGAGGAGAAGATTGTCATCATCTAGCTCAAGTGGATCATGTGCGAGGCAAATGTTTGCCCTTGATAGGCTTTCTATTTTACCGGTATCATGGTAGTTGTGGGAGACCGGGTTATAGGATCGATTGTCGTACTATCAAGGGGGGCTCTCGATGAGTTGCTTGATCGTATCGTTCGTAGAGAGCTCAAACCATTGCATCCTTGCATCATCTTTATTGGTTATTGTTTGGTTCTTCTCCTTGTGAGATTTGGAGCTTATGGTCATTTTTATGACAAGCTCGAGTTCATCGAAAACGGAGTTCACATGCATCTTCTATGATGTTTTCGATGTTGGAGGGTATGCCGGTTCTTCTCTGTTGGAGGTGTCACTCCTTTGTTCGCTGTTTTGATGCTACTCGTTGTCTTGTATCCAACAAGCTTGAGTTTGCTCAATTCGGAGCTCATATGAAGAAGTTATGGCATTTCTGCTTTTCTCCCTGCTCTAGTCTGAGCGGTAGTACCGTGGCCCGGAGCGGTAGTACCGCTTGTAGCCCCAGCCGTAGTACCGCTGCGGTTTCGTGCTAGTGCCGCCTCGATTCGAGGGCTTGTTTTTCGTGTCGGACTTTACGGTACCTGCCGCGACAGGAGTGGCGGTAGTACCGCTCTCGAGCGGTAGTACCGCGAGGAGGAGCGGTAGTACCGCTTAGGCTGTTAAGCGGTAGTACCGCTGGCCCGGCGGTAGTACCGCTCCGGTCGGGCGGTAGTACCGCTACTGCTTTACTACCGCCCCAAGGTTCTTGTTTTGTTGCTTCGTTTCCCTGCTTCTTCCGCCCGAGCGGTAGTACCGCTCGTGGAGCAGTAGTACCGCTCGTGTGCGGGCTGAGCACATAACGGTTGGATTTCCCCCCTCCTATAAAAGGGTCTTCCTCCCCATTGAACCTTATCCTTTGAGCTCGTGTTCTTCCCCCATTGTTGACCTTCTTCGAGCTTGCTAACTCTCAATCCCTCCATGGATTCTTGCTAGTTTTTCAGGAAAAAGAGAGAGGGGATCTAGATCCACATTTCCACCAATCACTTTCTCCTCTATGTGAGGGGAACCCCTTGGATCTAGATCTTGGAGTTCTTGGTGTTCTCCTTCTTGTTCTTCCTCTCATTTTCCTCCCTAGCATTAGTTGCTTCGGTGGGATTTGAGAGAGAAGGACTTGGGCACTCCGTGTGCCCTTGCCATTGCATTTGGTGCATCGGTTTGAGTTCTCCATGGTGATACGTGGAAGTTACAAGTTGAGAAGCTTATTACTCTTGGGTGCTTGGTACCCTTGAGCTTTTTCCTCTTGGGTGCTTGGGCGCCCTAGACGGTTGGTGGTGTTCGGAGCTCAATCATTATGGTGTAAAGCTCCGGGCAAGCGTTGGGGTCTCCAATTAGGTTGTGGAGATCGTCCCGAGCAATTTGACGGGTTCCGGTGACCGCCCCCAAGGGTTGCCAAAGTGTACGGGTTCGGTGACCGCCCCCAAGGGTTGCCATTTGTACGGGTTCGGTGACCGCCCTCAAGGGTCCCTTAGTGGATTCACGGCATCTTGCATTGTGCGAGGGCGTGAGGAGATTACGGTGGCCCTAGTGGCTTCTTGGGGAGCATTGTGCCTCCACACCGCTCCAAACGGATATTAGCATCCGCAAGGGTGTGAACTTCGGGATACATCGTCGTCTCCGCGTGCCTCGGTTATCTCTTACCCGAGCCCTTTACTTATGCACTTTACTTTGTGATAGCCATATTGTTCTTCGTCATATATCTTGCTATCACATAGTTGATTATCTTGCTTAGCATAAGTTGTTGGTGCACATAGGTGAGCCTAGTTGTTTTTGGTTTTGTGCTTGACAAATTAACCGCTAGGTTTATTCCGCATTTGTTCAAGCCTAAACCGTAATTATTTTAAAGCGCCTATTCACCCCCCCTCTAGGCTACATCCTCGATCTTTCAATTGGTATCAGAGCATCGTCTCTCTTTATTAGGCTTTACCGCCTAGAGAGTAAAGATGTCGACTAGGGGATTAGGATTCTCTGACTCTCTTAGTTTCGATGGCACAAATTTTGATGTTTGGGTAATTCGCATGCTTAATCTCTTTAGGGTCATGGACCCAAATTTAGAGCGAATTGTAGATATGGGTTTTTCTCCTCCAAAGGATCCCAAAGATTATCTTTAGAGGATGAGAAAAACTCTTATCTCAATGCTCAAGCTTCTAATGTGCTTTTCGATGCTTTGAGCAATGTAGTTATATTTCAACTCATGCCGTTCCGGGATGCTCATGAGTTATGGACAAAACTTCAAGATAAATATGGTGTGTCCAAGATTTGTGGGGATGATTGTTCTCCCTCCACCTCCGGTCGTATAGTCTTCTCAACTTCTTCTACTTCACCTACATGTGGTTTGCCACAAGGTAATGATATGGTGAGTAGTGTTGGTCATTGCAATGATAACAATATGCTTATTGTGGATGATCCTTCATCACTATATTATTTCAATGCTCCTTCTTTGGGCTTTAACACTTCGAGCACTCCAAATGTTTCACATGCTTGTGTTGATAGTCCTTGCATATCATGTAGAAATTTCTTGACTAAATCTCATGATGATATGCTTGCTATGTCTTGTTGCCATGATAAAAATGCATCTATTTCCTCGAATTGTTGTGCTAACAATGTAGAGGAAATCGAACACTCCATGGAACAAGATGTGGTGTTTAATGGTGCTTCAAGGGATCCTACATCATCATCTATTGCTTTTTGCCTTATGGCTAAGCTGTCAAAGGTATCTCCTACTTTGTACCCCAATATGTCTCTTGATGATGATGTTAATGCTAATGATGATGAGGATAAGGATGAAGAGAATGATAATGTTGCCTCCTTAAAAACTAAGGGGGAAATGATTTTTAAAGCTCTTCATAAAAATAAAA